GGCCTTTCATCCTTTCTGGAACTCGTTTTTTTTATTTTATTTTTTTTTATTCTTTTTTTTCACTTTTTGAACTTCCCTTGGCTTTATTTAAGAATTCCACCCTACTCGACTGCCTCGTTTCTGGTTGTTATCTTTTGTCCGGGAGAAAGAGAGAAGAATGAGTGGAACAAGCGAGGCGAGAGAAAGAAAATGAGAGATGGTATGAGACACTCCCGGGGATTTATCATTGAACTAGTACGCTACAACGGACACGTTATTAAATTAAGTTTTGTGCGACTTACGGTTTAAAGTTATTGCACAAAATTGAAAAGAAAAGTTTATTCTTTGTCAGATGTATATATATATATATATATATATATATATATATATATATATATATATATATATATATATATATATAGACAGACAGACAATCGAGAAAAGAAGAGAAAATGATTAATTTTAGATAAACGGAAATATTTGTTTTCTCGTAAAATATATATTTTATTTACACACGAATTACTTGATCTATTGTATCATTTTTTTTTTTTTTTTGCATACTGAATTTTTTTTCCATTCATTTTTTGTCTCTGAAATTAAAATTGACAGTGTGTTGTGTATTATGTTTTAAATAATAATTTTTATAGTTATTAATGAGGAAATTATTGTTTGGGCTAATGGTGAAAAATTAACTTTAATTTTCAACTTCTATATAAAATGGAGAGTGAGAGAGAGAGAGAAAGACGAATAATTATACTTAAACAAATAAACTCGTGTTGAGTTTAACCGTGCAGAATTAACGGCATAGAATTTTCTTGCTCTTCACGATTTATACTAGAGCGTAGTAATTGCATTACGAATTCCACATTTCCAGATGCGATGCATCGCTCTTTTTATATGAAGATTTTACGTCCGAAAATAAAACATTCGCAAATGAACTAGGAAGTAAATATAACTTTTCTTCTTATTTGTTGAAATTTTTTTTCTCTTCCCTCTCTCTCACTCTCTGTATTGTTCAATATAAGCGTATATAATTATTTTGCATAAAGTTTTTAAAAAGACTAATTAGATGGTTTTATTATTTTCTTTTGTACATTTTATATGAAAAGAAGATAGTTAAAAAATTTTTTCGTTGTCAAAAATATAATGAGATAAGTGGATTTCTATTTGATGTCAGACTTTTTCGACTTTTTTTTTTTACTATTTTCAAAAAAAGATTCTTTTTGACTTATTTTCGAAAACAGTGACTATTTTGAATTTTCTTACTTATGCAAGAGAATGCTAATCTTTCCGTATAAAATGCTACTTATTTTTATGAATGAAAAAAAAATAGTTCAGTTATAGTTGAAATTTAGAAAAAAAAACTGAATTTTTGTATTTTAATAATTGAATTCTCGAAATACTTTCTGAAAATTATATAAAATAATTGATTTGGTGAAAATTTTTAATTAAAAATTCTGAAAATTGAATTTTGGAAGAGTTGTAATAGAAATATTTGAAAACAATTAAATTACAAAATTCTGAACAATTCAGTTTTCAAAAAGTTTGATATGAAATTTTTTTTAAATTAGTTGCATTTTTTTAAATATAAAATTAAATGAAAAATATTTAAATAGTGGATATTTCGTGAAATCAAATTGAAAAAAATTGAATTTAACGTGAAATTACATTTTATCTTTTAAAAAATTCAATTTTTAGAGAATTTTCAAAAAGAAAATAATTTATTTCCAAAATGATTTGAGAAAATAATAATTAAATATTGAAAGAGTTGTAGTTGAAATTTTAAGAAATAATTAAATTTCAAAAGTTTTCAAATTGAAATTTCTGAAAACATGAATTTTTAATAATTTTAATTAAAAATTCTAAACAGCTTTGACAAATTTTGATTCAAATTTTTTTTAAAATTAGTTATTTATTAGTAATTTTTTTTTAATTATCGAACACATATATATAATTGAAAAATTTTCGAATAATTAGAAGTTCGTATAATTGAATTGAAAACAATTAAATTTTAGGCTTATTTTAACTAAACTTGTTTTTAAACAATTGAATTTTTGGAAAACATTCTGAAAATTATTTAAAATAATTTATTTAAAGATAAATTTTAATTGATAATTCTGAAAATGGAATTTTTGAAGAGTTTTTAATACAGAAATTTTTTTAAACAATGAAATTTCAAAATTCTGAATAATTCATGTGCAATTGAAAAATTTTCAAATGTTCAAAATTTCGTAAAATTAAATTAAAACCAATTGAATTTTAGAAGATTTTAAACTAAACTTTCATTTTATTATTTTTACTAATTAATAATTTTCAAAGAACTTTCTTAAAATTATAAAAAAAATAATTAAAAATTTATGAAGATTTCAATTGATGTAGAAGTTTAATTATATTTAAAATTTTAAATATTTATTATTATCATTAAACTTTTGAGTTGAATATTAAATTAATTAATAAATTAAACTCTTGTGTAGAAACAATGTTTAAATAGATTTAAATATTTATTCAATAAGTTTATTAAATTTTTGATATAATTATAATTAAATTCAAAAATTTTTAAACCTTAGTTTTTTGATAAATTTTAATTAAAATTTTTTAAGGATAATTGAATTCTCAATAGTAATTAATTGAAAAATTGTTTCTACAAATTTTTTTTAAATCCTTTTCTTGAAGAAGTATGTAAAAAAATTTGAAAATAATTGAATTTCACAAAAACTTATAATAGAAGTTATTATAAAAGTAAGGGAAAAAGTTAAAAACTTTTCTGGAAATCAGAAAAAAATCAGAAAAATATGAATAAATTAATAATTTTATAAAAGTCCTGAATAAAAATAAACGACTTTTTCGATTTTCTCTGTAATTTGAATTGACTAAGACAACATTTTTTTTAGGTTTTAAAGTCGATCCAAGGCGTAAATATCTGTATAATTTTACAGAATTTAGATAATTTTGATTTTAACGAAATCTTTTCTTTTTGAGTTAAATGTCATTTGAATATTTTTTTTCAGATTGCTTTTAAATAAATATTTTTACAAAACAGATGTTTTTTAGTTGAAAAGATATCCTCTTTTGTATGAAGATTACAACATGACTTTAGTGCTAACGATAATATTCACTGTGAGAATCCCAGCGCGAGTGCAATAATTACGAAGGCAAATATTTGATCCCAACACGCTATACGTGTGTCTGTTCTTACTTCGAAAATGAAGGGCCTGCTTGTGCATAGTTTAGATGCAAGCAAGCACTATCTCAATATTGTTGAATTAAAGGAAACAAAATTTCCGTTTGTGGGTGAAACGACTGTTAAACTATTTTACTTTATTTATTTATTCTTTTCTTTAAATAAATATTTAACAAAATACAAAACTTAATTATCATTTATTAAAAAATTTCAATTATAGTAAAAATTATTCGCGAATGTAATTTTTATTAAATTTTTAATTAACGCTTTGATTTTTTTTTAATTTACAAAGAGACAATAGTTGCCTGTAAAAATTCTTTGAAACGTAACATTCTTTCAAAAGATGAGATAAAAATTAAATTCGTTGTGGATAATTTAAAAAAAAAATTGTCACATATTCTTCTATTATTAAAAAGTGGTTTTTGTTGGGTAAATCTAGTTTTCAAATTGCATTATTTATCAACAGAATTTTTAAACAAAATTCATTTTTATCATCCACCATTCTTATCAGCATTGCGTCAACGGTATTTTAACTTTTATTTATTTTTTTTTTTTTTGAATTTTTATGATATTTTTAACAACCTTTTAGTCGTTGACTGTACAATAAATAAATAAATTGTCGTTATTTTTGCCGAACGTGTATTAACATACTAAATAAAAAAAAAACATTCCCAAATTGTAAATTGACGAATTTTTATAATAAATCAGTAAATAAAACAAGTAAAATAAATAACTAATTAAAGAAATAAAAATAAAACAATAGAAATTTCATATAGAACAGAAAGAGAAAAATGAAAAGCATATTATTAACAAATAAAATTGACAGTAGAATAAATAACCAACAAAAGAGTAAAGTATAAAAAACTGCTTTTAAATTAAAAAATTGAATGAAAGCCAATAAACAAAATAATCAACAAAGCAAATAACCAAATTATAACAGTAAACGAAAATAATAAAATATCAATAATTATCATGAGAAAAATAAATAAATTAAAAAGCAAAATAAATAACTAATAAGACAAAAAATAAAGAAATTTAAATTAAAAGAAAAATATATATTTGTTTGCTTTAAATCTTTAAATAAAAAAGTAGTGTAAATATTTAAATTAATAAATAAAACAAATAACTAATAAAGCAGACAAAAAAATTCAATTTTAAATAAAATTCCAATCTTATATTAAATAGTAAATAAGATGAATGATAAAACAAATAAAAGTAAACAAATTTTAATATTAAATTAAAAAATAATAATTGTGTTTTCATAAATAATTTTAATTTAAATCGAAAATAGTATCAATTTTAAAAAACTTCTGTATCTCAATATACACAAACAAACTTTAAATTAAAAAATAATAAATATATTTTTGCTGCTGTATTTCTGGGTTAATTAATAAACAGTTTCAATATTTAATTTGACATAAAAGACTTATAATTAAACTGGTGAGAAAATTTTAATTTCAAATAAAAGCCGAATCTGAATAAATTAAATAAATAATTAACAAGACAAGCAGAAATAGAAAAATAAAATAAAAACTAATAAATACATTATGCAGTACCAAAGATTAATAAAAAATAAGAAAAAGAATCGTAAATGAAAAATTTAATAAAACTTTCAGAAAAAATTGAGAAGAATTATTAATTCTAAATATGAAAACTCTATTTCAAAATATTCAAAGTATTTCAGTTCAATATATTTTTAATGATTCTTTGCATGGAAAAGAAAAATTTTCCTTTTAACGTAAAATTTCTTTTGAAGGAAAATTTTTCTAAATAGACATTTAGCCTGCGTCTGTCAATAAGTGAAAAAGTTAATTAAAAAATAGTAAGTGAAAGAACTTACCTTTTTATGAAAAGTAGATTGAAAACAATTTTTTGGAATATTATTTTCTTGACAATATAACGATGACAGAAATGTCCCATCTTCATATGTTGTTATTTTTAGAATTTCCGGAAAATGGAAACAATATAGGCACATATGAGAAATTAATTATTATAAAATTTTTTTTTTTTAAATAAATTAATTTCACGACTTTTAAAAAAATCAAGTAGCGTGAAAGTAAATGAATGGGAATGATGATAATAATAATAATAATAATAATACTACCACGAGAGACTATATTTATGTTGATTGTGGGGTAATGTATGCACGAGAAAATTGTCCCGTCGACCTCGTGGTTGCGTTTTCTCGACGAATCGTTTCTGATGATACCAGGCGGACAAACATCGGAATAGAACTGCGATACGTTGGACTATCGTGGCTTTTAACCCCCCCTCTTCAGACATCCCTTTTGCGCGTCCGAAAACGCATGCGTCATTTTGAAACACCGAAATCACCCCCCTCCTTCTTCTTCTATTCCATGTGGATCGTGACTCACGCCCCCTTTCAAGAACCTTTTCGCCAGTGGCGTTTTGAATTTTCATTTTCTTCTGAATATATTGTTAGATTGAAAAATTATTTTTTCTATAGCAAAAATAATTTTTAAATTTTGACTTTAGTATTTCGTAAATAAATAGCAAAAATTATTTTTTTTTTCTTATAAATTTATTAAATTTGATAATTATTTTTGCTATTTGTATTTAGTGTTTACTATTGTTAATACAAATAGCAAAAATAATTTTGGTGTCACTAAAAAAAGAAGAAGAAGAAATAGAAGAGGAAAATTATTTTTGAATTAGAAATGAAATAGAGGAGGAAAATTTTGTAAATTTTGTGCCTACTTTTTTCTGTAGTGTTTCTTCATGCAAAACTTAATATTTAGAAATGATAATAAAAAAAAACTTTTGAAATTCAATTTCCAATCCTTTGAGAGGTTTATATGAATGCAGATTTTTCGGACTCAAGGGGTTGAAATACTTTTTTAATGTCAATTTTTTTTCCTATGGCAATGTCCGGAAGACGATTCAAGAGCGCAAAAAATTTTTTTTTTTAAATTCCCTTTTGAGGCGAGGGGAATCTATTTCAAATGCACATAGAAAAGAGATGATGGAAATTTTCCCTTTTTGTAAAAAAGAAAAAAATTGCAAAAATGTAAAAAATTTCAGTTGATGTGAAATTTATTTGCAGTTGATGCTAATTTTTGGTTTAATTTTTTCTCTCACCAATTACTTCTTTTGTTGAATTTCTTGTTATATTTTGTTTTTTATTTTTTTTTTCTGAAGAATTTATCATTCATTTTTCCTACTTGCTTATTTTATTTTATTTATTATTTCATTATTTTATTGTTATTTGATTTTTTTGTTTATATTTATTTTATTGTTTTTTTGAATTATTTATTAAAAAAAAATGAAACAGTAAAATTTATTGGATTGAAATTTTTATATTAGATTTATAAACTATATTTATTAGACTATATTTAGTTTTGTATATTTTTTACTTATTATTATTTTATATTATAATTGTGACGCGTTCCCAAGAAAGGTTCCTGAGAAGCAAATGAATTATAGGTTATGTTTTTATTATATTTATCTTGATTAATTAAAAATTAATTTTTAATTATGTAAATTTAAAACTAATTATTGAATATTTTGAAAGTAATAAATAATTGAATATCAATCATTTTTAAGGGTAATTGATTCTGTTTCTGTATTTTAACACAAAAAATTATAAACATCTCCTAAAATTTATTCTTCTTAGGTACCTTTCTTGGGAACGTGTCACAATTTTTATTATATATTTTATTATATTTTTACTTATTATTATATTTATGTACCTAAAAAGCAGAAAATTTAATGTTTGGTTTGTCATTTTTGAAATAAAAATACTCAAAAGGGATCAACTTTTGACAAAAACTAAATTATTTAAGTCTCCATTATGTCTAAAATAATTAATAACAACTGTTTTTGTTTTTAAATTAAAAGTAGACATATTTAATTAAAAATAACCTTAAAATTTAGTCTGAGAAAACCTAGGTATTCAATTTTTCTTTCCTGGATTCAAATTTTGTTCAAAATTCGAGAAAACATTTGAATTTTTTGGAACTTTTATCATAATGCTGAAAAAATTTGAATTTTTTGAAACTTTTATCAAAATTTAGAAAAAATATAAAATAAAACGATATATTATATTTTTTTCTGAATTTCGAAAAAAGTTTGAAAGCAGAAATGAAAAATTGAATAGGTTTCCTCAGCTCAAATTTTTTGCCTTTTTTGAAAAATAAACATTCATTACTCAAAAAGGAGGGAAAATTGTCGAAAAATGAAGAAATAATTTTTTTTGCTTTCTATACCGCACACCACAGAAACTAAATTTAATGTCGTGAAATTTTTATGACGAGCGAGAGAAAAAGAGAGAAAAGAAAAGGAGAAACTTGCCAAGAAGTGACCACACTTGGAGAGAAGATAACGACCAATTTCAAAAAAGCAACTCTTTTATACTATAACGAGACATCACGAAAGTGACATTAGTTCTGATACGACTTTGTATGGTTAGAAAGCGTTAAGAGAACCAAAGAGAGAGAGAGAGAGAGAGAGACCTGGACTTGAAATACCTTCCGATCGTGCGGAAATCTCGCCAGGCGGGAATTCGGTCGACGATCCCTCAAAATGGGGTTGAAGCGCTTGCGCCAAGAACGTCTCTAAAACCGGAGGGGGGTTGACGGGGGTATAGGGGTAACTCAGTCAAGCCGCAGCGCGCGTTCTGTAAACTTCCTTCACGCGGATTCACATCCCTTGCGGCTGCTTTTTTAATTCCTTGAATTGAGTCACGTTTTTTTTTTAATCAGACCAAAAATTTAAAAAGAAAAAAAAATTCCCTTCCTAAATTTCAGTGTTGTGTGTTGTCCCAAAAAAAAGTCCGATAAAAAATTTTTCTAAAAAAAAAAAAATGAATAGAAGAGCATCAGTCATTTTAATGTTTCTTCTCACGAGTCATTCGAGGGTAATTTATTAAACGGGCTTTAAAGAAGATTTTCTGCATTGAGTACCTGAAAACCCCCTTTATACATATATCCTACTTGTCCCTGTTTCTGCAAGGAAAGGAACAAAAAAAAAAAAAAAAAAAGGAAAAGAAAGCGTGAAAACTTGGGTACGTGCAAAAAAGGGATTTCACCTCGACGTTGAGCTTCTGCCAGGGCATTATCACAGGACGCGCGCCATTAGCCGCGTGCAAAAAAGAAAACTGCTACGTGAAGCGGAAAATGAAAAATTTCCCCTGGCGAAAGCCACGGGAAAACAGGAAGGGACTATTAAAGTCACCTTTGTCTCGAGAAGGAAATAACGCAAATCGGAAATAAAAAAGAATACCACCCTCCGGCTCTTTTCAAGGGCGACGCAACAAATTTCCCAGAGATCAAAAATATGGAATGGTCGTGGAATCATAGAAAAAAAGAGGCAAGCTAGTGGAAAATTATTTTCCCCTTTTTTTCTTGCTTTAAAACAAAACAAAAAAAAATATCAAGACTTTGAATTTTGAAAAAAAAATATTTCGACTACGAAATATGTAATAGAAAAATAGAAAAGAGTTAGCAGAAAAAATGATTCCAACACTCTGGATAAATCCCGTCGTTAAGAAATATATTTCGACAATTAATCCCTCCTCTACGGTAGTGAAAAATCCCTCGACTGTAAATATAAAGCGCACAAGGAGATAAAAAAAAAAATATTTTTCTATTCCGCTCAATTTCGAGTTTTATTTAAGAACTTAAGTGAAATTAGTTATACGCTAGGTATATTCGAAAAGTAAAAACGGAATAATAAAAATATTATTTGTATAAAAAAATACTAATATACAAAAATTAGTTAAAAAAATGTTAATAAGCAAAAAATACTAATGTAAAAATAAAAACCTATTAATATAAAAAATTAAATATTAATACAAAAAATATTAATGCAAGAGGTGTTAGTATAAAAAATATTAATACAAAAGGTGTTAATACAATTAATACAATTAATACAAAAGGTACTAAAGTAATTAATACAAAAGGTACTAATGTAAAAATATAAAAAACAATATAAATATACAAAAACAATATAAAATTGATGAAACAATATAGTAATAAAAAATTTCATTAGTGTTAAGAATGTAATATAGTAGAAACTGGAAAAATACCCAAATAGTGAAAAAATACTCTGAGACTTTCCCAGCTGGCGGGAAGGATTTGCCGATTGTCCTGTGGTTTTTTTTTTGAATATATTTTTCTTTTTTGGAAGAAATGAAAAAAGGTGTTTGTCATCAGTGGTAATATGTCATTGACAAGAGGTGATTTTTTTTTGTCATAGGTAGCATTCTGCGACGGTGGTATTGAGTGCAGTGACGGGTGACGACGGAAAGGCGGGAAAGAGGGTTGTCAATATGACTCCTATCTTCCTTGTCCTGTTGGTGGCGATCGACCCAATTATCGCGCAAAATGGTGGTGAGTAAAATAATAAAGAAAAAAAAAAAATTAGTGTTTTCCCCCCTACAATGAAAAAAGAAAGACTCTTCATCGACACTGTGGAACTCTTTTTTATATATGAACTTTCTATATCATGTCGTGAATAAGTTCACGACCAACACACACGTGGCTTGTGGGATTTACTATATCCTTAAATACTGAACTCTCTCTCTTGTACAACGCGACTATGTGAAGTTTCGGAATAGTTAAACTTGATCAAACATCTGCCGCTCGTTATATATAACGGGGAGTATTTTACATTTTAGAGAGTAATTTTCTTGTTCTTTTTTTTTATTTTTCTTTTTGGTGTTTTTTTTATCTTAGGAGAGTTGGGTTTTTTTTTTTGTTTTAACGAATTGTTGAGAGATGCTCCGATTTTTTTTTGTGGAGATGATCGACCTTCGGGGGAGTGAAGTTCGCGTGACTATAACTCGTGTCTTAAGTAGACAGGAACTTTTCGGTATTCCTTGTCGTTGCATAATGCAAAAAAGAAAAATTGTGAATAGCAAATTTTTACAATTCAACATTTGTCGTGACACTATTTTTTGGAAATTTTTTGCTCCACTTTTCTTTTGGTAGATTCAATAAAAGGATTTTTGAAAAATACGTTTTCATTTTAACAATTTTTGAAATATATTTTTTGGTTTAAATTATTTGAAAACATTTTTGATTTAAAATATTAAACAATGTTTTTAATTTAAAATACTTGAAAATATTTTTGATATAAAGCATTTGAAAATATTTTTGATATAAATATTTGATTATTTTTGATTTAAAACATTTGAATACATTTTTAATTTCAAATATTTAAAAATCATTTTGATTCAAAATGTTTTCAAATATTTTTGATTTACAACATTGAATAATATATTTGAAATGCGAAATATTTAACATTAATTAGTGGTTTCTGTTTTATATTTGTGAACTTTCTGTTTTTGTGAATTGCAAAATTTTTTAATAACATTAAATAAAAAAATTGTTTTCCCTTTGAATAAATAACTCGTGCCTCAAAGGGTCAAGTGACTTTTGTAACTAATTTTTTTTTTGTTGGAAAAAATTGTTTTCAATAAAGTTGTTAAAGAATTTTTTTGACAGGTTTTTTTAGTTTTTAAATTTAATTTTGTTGAAAATAATTAGAATTTTAAGTTAGTATTTAAAAATAATAAAAATTGTTATGAGTAAATAGTTGAAAAGAATTAAATTTTTCAATAATTATCCGAAGATAATACAATTTTTAAATAATTAGTCGAAAATAATTAAATTTTTAAATCATTAGTAAAAAATAATTAAAGAAATAATTTATTTGTAAATAGTTAAATTTTTAAGAAATTAGTTGAAAATTCCTAAATTCGATGGACATTTGAGATTGTATTCAATTAATTCAACTATTAATTTATTTAAAAGTAACTAATTAGTTAATGCATTTGCAGTTTTTTATGGAATCAATTAAAATTAAGTCGATCTTTAATAATTGATTGAATTGATTCAATTTGGATATGTGGCTTTTTAATTGTCTGAATAATTATTTACATTTGTTATCAATAATTAGGTTGATTTTAAAAAAAAATGAAAGAAGAATTTTTTTAATAACTAGTTGCTTTTTGGATTATTTTCTGAATATAAATTAACGAATTAAGTAAAATTAATTTATGAAAACCATTAAATTAAATCAGTAAAAACTTCAATTAATTCTTAGTAATTTATCACTAAAAATTGAATAAACTAATTTAAATTTATAAATAAAAATAGTAAAATTTTTAGTAAATAGTAGAAATTTGTAATATTTGAATTTAGATGATGATTTATCACTAATTATTTAGAGAGAAAAAATTCTTCTTTAAAATTGTTTTTTAAAATCAGTTTTTAAAATTTCATTTTAAAATGCTTCTTTAAATTTTTTTTTGAAAAATCCGTTTTTAAAATTCATTTTTTAAAATCCTACTTTAGAATTGTTTTTTAAAATACTTTTGTATAATATTTTCTTAAAATATTTTCCTGAAATTATTCTTAAAAACAATTCTTTAAAATCTTTTTTTAAAATCTTTTTTTAAAATACATTTTAAAAATTTCTTTTTTAAAATCATATTTTTTCAAAGAATATCAAATTGAGACAAGAAACGTTTCAAAACCAAGAATTTGATATCAGAAAACCTGTGATCCTTTTTTAAAATTGTTTTTTAAAATTCTATTTTAAAATTGTTCTTTAAAATCCTTCTTTTAAATTGTTTATAAAATTCTTCCTTAAAATTGTTTTTAAAATCATTTCGCAAAATTGCTTTTTAAAATTCATTTTTAAAAATTATTTTTTAAAATTCTTCTTTAGAATTGTTTTTTAAAATACTTTTGTATAATACTTGTTAAAAAATTGTTTCCTGAAATTATTCTTAAAAATACTTCTTTAAAATTCTTTTTTAAAATTGTTTTTCAAAATCCCTTTAAAAGTACCTTTAGTACAATTTTTTATAAATAACGTCGTCCAATTACAAATGAAATCATCGAATTATGTAATTTGCCTTTACAATGTGCATCAAATATTGTACTAGGAGTACTAATTACATTGTTAATCAATCACTCGGTTATTGCAAACCATCAATCAATCAGAGAACAACAAAGTAAATAAATATAATACGAGTAGACAGAAATTAATTGAAACAGAACTATCACAATAAAATGTTTACATTTAAAAGGAAAATTCATTTTTCCTCAATTCGAAATTTATCACTAAAAATTTTTCATTCTTGTTTTTCATTTTCACGAAATGTTTTATCAAATTCAAAATATCTATCTAAAGTTTTAAGAAAATTATTTTTTTTCCTACCCTATATTAAATTCTTATAAATAAAAACATTAATTATAATTCATACGTAATATCGAATATAAATAAATTTTTAATTTTTAACACTAAAAAATGTTTAGAATTTTGAAAAACTATTTAATTTCCTGGTAATTTTTAGTAGAATTTCGAAGAAAAAGTGGAATTTCTGCGAGTAGAACGAGAAATGTTGAATTGTTCCCGAGGTTTTTTGTTTAAAAAATACTTTATAACACTTTTGTTTACAACTGTAGGAAAGTAAAGAATTGATTTCGTTGAATAGAGAAAATTCTGAGATATCGCGTGATATAAATAAATTTACGATTATTCTTGTGTTTTCGCGGGGAAAAAAGTATTTATTCTTATATACAGTGGGAAAAAGTTGCCGTGAATTTGAAGGTGATTTTTTTGTTCTCCGATGTAACGAAACAACGGAAAGCTCTTGGAGCGTTCGCGTAGAAACTCGTACGTGCGGCGCCATCCTGTACAAGCTTTTGTTCAAGCTTTAAAAGCTCCCCGAGAGCACACGGACCACCAACCCCCCCTTCCCCCCTCCTCCACTCCCTCCCCTCTTTGCCTCTTTTACCTAATGGAACGGGAAAATTTGTAAGCTAACGCGGCGTGAATGACGATATATATCCTAGGCACAACAAAGCTCAAAAGGCTTCGAGACTATATACGAGTTACGGGCCAATATAACCCGGTAATACTCGAAAATTGACCGATAAAGATTTCAACGTTGATATTTGCGGATTTTGCCCGATTTCGAAAATCCATTATTACAGGCATTAATTTTATCGGAAAAGAACATTTTTTTTTTTTTTTTTCAATGATTAATAACGGAAATGTGCTTTAAACACTATATAAGTGACATTTTCCTTCGTTAAATACAAGGGAGAGAGAGAACACTGTAGTAGAGTGCTTTAAACGTTGAGCTAGGTCACGTTTTAAAGCTCAATTATTACGTGTGGGCTTCGCTATTTGCCAGAGGCCCTTTTCGGGGTTATCTAGTGACTATTTTGGATCAACGCTGATGGAAATTTCAAAGTTCACAACTAGACAGTGCTCGTTATTGGACACTAAGGACACAACTATACTGACAATGTGTCCCACACCGAAAGAGCCATCATTAAAAAAAAAAGCCCCAAACTTTTACAATGCAAGTACCAAGTTTTACTTTTCTTTTTATTAAGTAAAAACAAAAGAGGATGAAAATATTCCCTACTGACAAACTTGATTCAACTTCTATGCTTATTTTTATATCTTTAACAAGAATATTGTCTTTTACAGTTTGTAAATTTTTAACACAGTTCCTTATTTAAAAGGAAGGAATTAAAAAAATTTTTTTTTGTAAGATTTGTGAAAAATCAGGTTACTTCTAAATTTAAAAAAAATGAGGACAGTACATTAAAAATGCAGAAGATTTCTCGTAAAAAAGAAATTTGTTGAGAAAATTATTTCCTAACGAATTATTTTTCTATTTTTAAAGCTTTTATAGAGAAATATTTTATATAGAAGTAATTTTCTATACCACTTGGAATAAGAAAAATTAGCTTGATATCTCGCTTTCGAAAAAGAAACAATTTTCCCCAGCATTTTTTTTTTTTCTTCAGTTCGTCCCATTTAACGGAATTTTCGTCATTAAAATAAAATTTCACTTGCAAATGAAAATTATTATTTCCTATTAGAGAAGATAGAGTGAAAAATACTTTTCATTTTGCTGTTAGGAAAATAATTATTTTTCTCCAACAAAAATAATCTAGAGAAAAATAATAATTTACAGAAAAATAATAATGGGGAGAGAAATGGTATTTTTTTCGGAACACTTTTGAATTGTCAACCAGATTTTTAAAAGGAAAAAAATTTTTTAAACCATCAGTAATTGAAGTTTTGCGTGCAAAGAAACAAGAGTGTGTGTATAATAATTTTTATGTTCAAGTCTTGACTTACCCTTTTTGGTAGAAAAAGAAAGGAAAGAAATAATTCGAGGGTCAGGATTAAAGCGTTAGACTTTCTATTGACACGCAACTCTTCAATTTGTTTACATTAATTTAACCTCCCAAAGATTTCGAATTTAAATCACTTTCTTACGCTCTTAATTTCTAGATTAGATGGAACAAAATATGATTAATGATTTTGTTGTATTTTTCTTGTCCTCCTTTTTTTT